TTTGAGTTATTGTATTCTAACAGTTAGATTAAGTTTAGCGCCTTAGTTGCTTCGGTGCTTGTTTGGAACTCAGAGATTCCAATTCTTCTTAGTATTCCAAGAGAAACTTCTAAGCCAATTCTTGAGATTCTTACCATCTTTTCGAAAGCTTCTGTTTTGAGAAAATCGATCTGTTCCTTCTAAGTTTCGGGACGAAACTTCTTTTAAGGCGGATAGAGTGTATGTGACACCCCAAAAATCCACATTCAATCCATGGATTAATTAAGTAATTAATCCTATTTTATTTGAAGAATTAATTCCTAAAATCATGATTTTTAATACTCGAGGACTAGTATTTGACTAGTCAACTTCATAGCTATGTTGTACCTTGAGCTTTGAGGGTAGTTCCCTTGTTCCTTACACTTTCTAAAGGTTAGTAAGGGTATCCTTGACTTTTCACCAAGAGTTAGTATTGTAACCTAACCTAGAAGACTTCTTCATTTCATTCCTTACATTTCCTAGAAATTAGCTCTACCTTCTCTCTAGAAAGGTGAGTAGCTTATTCTCCAAGCTAAGTTGAGACCCTTGTCAAGATTCCAAGATTTGCTACCAAGATTCAACCTTTCACCTATTTGGGCATCTAGGAGGGTAAGATCTAAGTCCATCTTGTGTTTTTTGTTCCATCTTAGTTGTCTTTTTCTTAAAGATAGGATCTTTATGATCTTTTGGTTTAATCTTGAAGTGGGTTTGGAAATTAAGCCTTGTGGGGAGCTTGTTGTGTTGTAAAGTGAAGTCTTTTGGTCTACAAGAGGTAACCCATGCTCTACAAAACCTATTTTGCTTACCTATATGTGATTTCTTGGATTCTACTTGTGCTTTGCTATGAAATGTGAGGGTTTATGCATTTGTCTTGTGAAAATGCATATCTAGAGCTTGTGTTTAGGGTTCTTTTGTGCCATTTCTTGGCATTTCCTTTGATTCAAGTCATTTTGTTGTATTTAGTGAGATTTGGCATGTTTTGGACTTGAATTTGAGCTTGGAGTTGAAAATCCCCGAAGGGATTATTTTGGACCCAGGGACGTAGCTGCGGGCGGAACGACGGGGAGAGCCCTACCCGCCGCCCCACCCGCGGGAACGAGGCTTGTGGGTGTTGGTACCCGCGGGCAGGACCACAGGTAGGGGCCTACCCGTGTGTCCACCCGCGGGGTACATGTTGGCGTTTGTTCGGGATTTGTTCCCCTTGATTCTTTTGACTCGGTATTTGGTCTTTTGACTTCCCGATGTTCTTTTGTAGAACGATTTGAGTGTCTTCTTGATGTTTCGTATGTCTAGAACTATACGGTAGGTATCCATGTAGGACTTTGGTGTCTTGAATCGTGCTAAGTGTTCAACATTGTGTTTCGTTGGACCGTGTAGTGTCTTGTGTGTTCCTCGGAACTATCTTTGGTTTCCCCGTTGATAAGCATGCTAGTTTAGTGTCTAAATGCTAGCATGTGTGTTGTTTGTACCTTCCGTTTGGTTGATGATAACTTGTGTTATTCATCATTGTTGTTGTTGGGTTGTGACCCATTCCTTGATTGGGTATGTTTCATACATTCGTTGCAATCCGTTGATTGATTCCTGTTGAGGTGTGGTGTGTGTGGCTTTACCTGGATTGCACGATTAGTGGTATGGGACACTAGTCACCAAGGTATTGCAGCGGTCCTCGTGGTGGCCGTGACGTGATTATGGAGCTGTGGCCTGAGTGATGGGTCCACGTATTTCTTGGGAAGGCATGTGTTGCCGTGTGTGTGTACGGTACCTTGTGTACTATGAAATTGGTGGCTTTGTTGGTGGTCGTTGGTGGGGGACCACGATCCCGGAGGTAAAAGGTTGGACTAAGAACTACAGAGGTCCTGGAGGTAATGGTTGGAAAGAAGATACAAGGTTGGGGGTAGCCATAAGGTTGGAACAGGGCATAAGGCAGGCATACCAACTCGTGATGGGTAATGTCGCGAGGGCTATTGTAGCCAGTGTTGTGTGTTCTTCTCTTGTGACCTGTGTAGTCATAAAGGCATGTGTGGCCTTGGCATGTGTTGCCGGTTGTGTGTGTCTTGTTCTTTCGCGTTGTACTTGTCGGGTTGCGGTCTATTGAGTGATGATAGATCGTGCCTTGACTCTTTTGTGAGTCGTGTTGTGCTTGTAGTCTTGGGATGTGTTCCCGTGTTACTTATGAGAGTGTTGAGTCTTGTGTTGACTACTTCTCTCGGTTTTGAACTTATATATATGTATTCCGTTTCGAAAATGACTTTTGTATATATACCATATCTATGTATGATACTTAACGGTATTGGTGGGTTACTAGCATTATTCGCTGACCGGGCGTCGTCCCATGTTTATCTTTGTGATCTTACAGGTGGTGTCTAGACGAGCGCGATGTCTAGTGGCCGGTAGCTTAGTACCTTTATCCTTGTTTTGTGGCATGTGCGCCAATGTAGTTTTAGACTGATGTCTTTGGGATAGATGTTTACACATTGCAGATTTGACCGCCGTAGCATTTACCGTGGTTGGTAGACGTGGCATAACACCCTGTTTGGATTCCTTTTATCCAGTTATCGTTTTATCTTCCGCTGTGCTAGTGTGTTGTTGTTTAATCTGCATGTGTTACGGCCTTTTTATATAGGTCATGTTTGGGGGGGTGTTACAGTGTAACAACCCAAAATTTCATTTTATAAATCCAGTATTAAGAAATTCCAAAGTAGATTTTTCAATCCATTAAAAATTTTTGCGATCAATCGGTGTTTGAATAAAATAATTTTGTCGCATTTTAAAATTTATTCTACACTGAAGAAATGAATCTCATTCGAAAATCCCTAAGTTTTCGGGTACTTCGCGTACCAATATTTAAATCGAGAATTTTATCTGAGTGAGACCGGGAGAATTCAAAAAGGATTTTTGAACAAGTGTTCATCCATATAGCTTTTGGGAAAATTCACTTTCAACCCCAAAGTAATAAAAGATAACATTTCTAGCCTATGGTTCATGTTACATGCTGGACCACAAAACATCCAAAATCCCTTATAGAATCATCTTTTACCTTGGGAAATTACCCATTTTCCCTCAACCAATCATTGTGTATCATCATAGGGTTTTGAACCCTATATAAACCACCTCATTTCATCTCATTTTTCTAATCTCATTCTTTGCCTCTTCCTCATATTTTTGTCTGCCAACAACAAGGAAAGAAACATCAACTTAGTAACCTTGTTCATCCTTCATTCTAGCCTCTTTTCTCTTTTAGTTTTCTTTAGTCTTTGAGGTTCTAGGCTAAGGATAGAAGGTGTGTTTGGGAAGTGTAGGTGGTGAAGGAGGCTCAAGCTAGGTCAAGAGCAAGGAGAGATCCAAGCAAGAAGATTAGGCTACAAGAGGTATAACCCCATGGATTTCTCTTTAAATTTGGCTCTGTGAAGCCTAGTTTTGAGTAGAAATGAGTAGAAACTATGAGTTTTTGATGTGTTTATGCTAAGAAGTGATTTAGTATGTGTGTGTGAGTTGTTGAGATTGTTTTGGATTGGTTTGGATGAGATTTTGCAGGTGAAATCACATCTGGTGCACAACACAGTGTGCACCAGATCAGAGTAGCGGCCCAAGTCGCGACCCATCAGAAGGGCCGCCGGCTAAAGCCGTGGTGGCACGGGACTAGTGCACGGCCCTAGAGGAAGGCCGTTGCCTAGTCCCGGCACATCAACGGGGCTCCAAGGGCAGTCTATGAAGAGTCCTGCCCCAGGTCCCTGAGTATTGTCTGTGAAGGATTTTTGTGCAGTGGTCGGGCCCTTGTGGCTCAGCTACGTGTCGTTTTGGACCGAGTGTTACGGGCCCTTGTGGCTCGGCTCTTCGGGATTGTCTTGACGCACGTTTTGGCTTTGATTTCGTTGAATATGGATTAAAACAAGTATGTTAAGAAGGATTTTGTGAAGAATTGCTACACGGTGAATAATTTTCTAGTTTACTGTGTATGAAGAATTATTTAATTATTGTGATCTGATGATATTTTATTGAGTAAAGAAACATGATCCTTTGAGAATATTATTTATGAAAGTATGATTAAATTGTGTTATTTGATCAATGAGAATAGAAGCATACTTGTTGAGTGAAATGTATAGAAATTGCTATTTTGCAAACCGAGTGTGATGATATATCCTTGAATATTTCATGTTAGTTTATACATGATGTAGAAGCATGTTATAGAGCATTTTGACATTTCACATGAGTCATATTTCAAAAATGCATAAGGGGCCAACGTGAATCCAAGAATACTTTCACAAACCATAAGCATGTGGTATATCATTCTTTGATGCATTGAGAAGTAATAGAATTGTTGCGTGCATGAGATTGATGAATGAGAGATATATTTATGTATTATTTATATCGGTAAGGTTTTGGAGGATACCGTGTGGACTATGTTCCTCTCACTAGTACAGAAATACACATCCGCTACCCTTGTAAATGACTATCCGCTACCCTTGTACAAGAGTAGCGGATGTTAGGGTCGCAGAAAGTCCTGGGCTTTCCGCTACCCTTTTAAAGGGTAGCGGAAAGTTGAGTATCCACTACCCTTCTAACTGTAGAAGGGTAGGGCATATTATTATTATTCTTTTTTTTTTCGTAATCTTCCACTACCCTTTCTGGGAAGAAAGGGTAGCGGATGGTTTACTTTTTTACAAAAAAAAAAAAATTTATTTATTATTTTTAAAATTCCCAATTATTTTAAAAATCTTGTACACCGAATTCATAAACTACATATCAATACAATATTATGAACACAATATTATGAACACAATATTATCAATGCACTTTCAATATAATACTATCAATACAATATTTTATATCAATCAATCTCAATACTTTCATCACAATAATAAATTATAAACACAAGATAATATTTAATCTAAAATAAAAGTTAAAAATGGACTCCACAAGACATTTTGATCACAACTGTGATGTCTGCTACTACCTGAAGTGTTCGCATATTATGTGAGCTTAAGGTAGCCTTAAAGGCACTTGAAACAACATGTAAGGTTTTGATCATTTCAGGTTTCTTCTTCACATACATCCTTTTCAAGAAGTTAGCAGCAAAGCTCATGGCATATCTGCAGCAAAAGAACAGTGTTGATAAGAAATTTTCACTTAGAAGAGCAAGAAAAAGTCATAACAAAAACAGTGGTATGGCGAGGGCTTAGTTAGTTATTAACAACATCGGTTAACCAAGTATAGAATCAAAATTGTGACATAAAACGTGACACAAGTAGAAAGGAAAGGGCAATGAGGAGAAATGCAGACACAGCTACTTACGTCTTTGCAAGAAGAGGGAGTAGTTGTCTTTGATGGCTGGGGTAATCAAGCAATAAAACTTCAGGTCCATTTGGTGTGACTGAAAATGCTCCCATTGTCAATGAGTATCTTATTGCAATTGCTATGCCCACCTGATGAATATCCAAGTCTTATTACATAACAGTTCTAATTTTATACTTATAAATCTTTCAGAAATACTAAATCAGAGAAGAGTAATGTGTTTTACTTTTGCTGAGTAAGTTACAATGGATGGTATGCTTACATGCCCGGTCCAGTTGGTTCAATTCTCGCGGGAATATATAATGCATTCGATTCAATGGTGTCGGAACAATAATGCATTCAATTCAATACAATAAAAATGAAAAATGCAGATTGATGGTCAATAATTACCTCAGAAATTCGAAGAGCTGTTTGAACAACATAATTGGCATGTGGGTCCTGAAGCAGCTGCTCAAAGTGAGTTGCAGAGACCAGTTCATGGATTATCTTTGACTGGACCTTATAGTCGCATACGATAAGGCATTTAAGATGCATACGATAAGGCATGCAAATACATAGAAATTTAGAACTCAGCCCTCCATAGCATTTAAGATGTATACTACTGGTATAAAGAATCTTATATGTTATGCAAAAAAAAGGTTTGTCTTGAGTCTTTTCCATTGTGATTTATTACCCAAATACATCCTGAGCTAGAAGAAGTCCATTGGCAGAAATTTCTGCAACCAGGTTTTCCCGATATTCTCTAGTAGCATGGGCGATGCATCTTTGAATAACACAACACCCATGTTGATGTGTTGCAATATCAACGCAGTACTTTGCAGCTGCAACAAATATGAACTGCCAAATTTGGAATGAATTAGACAAGACAAACTAGGAACTAATTTTGTTATTCTCGAAGGAATAATTCTGATCATATAATAAGCCATCAATAATTATGAACTGTCATCTTCTAAGACATTTTTATGAAAATATTCAATTCTTTTCTTATTATAAAATTATAACTATGTTCAAAAAGACTAAGGGATACAGTAAACTATTTTATTTAGGCAATAAATGATGCAATCTGCAGCACAGAACTAAAGCATACCTTACTGTCTCCATTGGTAAGATACTGTAAGCATCTCTGGATAACATGATTACCATTAATATTATGTATATCAGAATCAATTAGTACAGGTATAAAAATATGGTCTCGCAAGAAACCATCCATGATCTTATCATAAAAGCTAAGAGCATTGTTATTCTGTGAAGCATTGAGAAATCTATAATATGAGATACGGCATGTGTTAGAGAAGAATAAGGCATTGATCAGAAAGTTTTATTCTACAAGCAAGGACTACACATAATTTGCAAAAAATATATTATAAAAAGTGGCTACAAAGTTGAAAATGAGAAAAATTAATATGCTAACTATTAAAGTTCTCTTATAATAAAACAGTTGAAATCGTGTAATAAGATAGATAAGAATACATAGGAGAGTAATGTTTTGGAAAAGGGAAAGAATCCATTCAAAAACCGGGTAAAGAGTAAGAGGAATAAGGCACAAAAGTGTTAATTTTTAATTTTCAACTCTGGGTGAAAGCATTCATAAACCTGTAAGGATACAACTACATTTCTGGCAGCTAATTTTGCAAGGTAGCAGAGTTCCCGCATTCTTCATTGGAGTCATTTGACTGGTGATTAAGAACTTCCTCCTCAATCACTTCTGTTTCACTTGTGATAACTGAAACATACTGATGTAGCTGCAACGGACTCAACTCAATTTCTTGAACTTGAATCAGTAATCTTGCAATGATGCTCCAAAGTGCACTTCTTGCTTCTGCATCAGCAGAAGCAAAAGGGAATAGACTAAATAGACCATGTAACAACAAAAGGTCTGAAGATCTTTGTGTTACCAAAAATTATCCTAGGTGGAGCAACTGAAGTCTAAACATGGAAAACTGATGACAAATATTATTTCTTTTAGCAGTAAATCAACTCACCTTGAAATATTTCTAATGCTAGATCATCTGCATCAGTTAGAATATTTGCTAGCAAACAGCAGCAGTAACTCAAGAATCAGCAACTTGTAGGAGATACATCATTTATGGAAAACTGCATCATCTGAGTTTTAAAATGTTTTGCAGCTTTCATATATCCTATTTTCTTATTCATTCCATCAACAGAGATATTTGCACACAATTTATTTACATAATCATGATGCTCATTTGTGTTGTAACAAGAAAATTTTGACAACAGATGAAATTATAGGACTAGTATCAACATATGGTTGGCTTTTCCATTTTCAGTTTTTGTTATTTTCTTTAACTAATCTGTGGTAAGTTACATGCTATAACCTTGACTCACTAAGCAAAATTTTCAAAATCTACTGCATACCTCAACCTTTTCAGGAAGTTTGATTAGGTCAGTAATTTTAACAATAAAAAAAAAAAAAATTACCTGCACGTACAGTTCGGCGGACCAGCTGCTGGCGGTGGAAGTTGCAGAAGCAGCCGCGGCGGCGGCTGAGGAGAACTGTGGCGGTGGAGACGGTGGTGGCGGCGTCGTGGTTGGTTGATGAGAGAGGCGTTGGAGTCCTTATCTTGGTGGTGGCGGCGTTTGATCGAGGCTGAGGGAGTCGTGGTGAGAGAGGCGATGTCAGCGGCGTCGTGGGTGGCGGTGTCGACGGCGGAGTCGTGGTCTATGGTGAGGAGCGACGGTGGAGGTCTGTGATGAGGCGTTGAGGAGAGGTGAGATCTGAGAGCGAGTTGAGATCTGAGATCTGAGAGCGAGATCTGTTTTTTTTTTTTTTTTTGATCCACGAGTTTTTATTTATTTATTTATTTAGGATTTTCAGATCTAATTTTCGCTGCCTTTTCTTTTAGAAAGGGTAGTAGAGAGTTTTATTAATTAAAAATTAATATAATATCCGCTACCCTTTCTACAAGCAAAGGTAGCGGACAATATATCCGTTTTTTTTAAATAAAAAAACCGCTACCCTTTTTTCTAAAAGGGTAGTGGTTTCTTATCCATTTATTTACAATAATGCCACCGCCCTTTTTATTTTTAACAATACACTACCCTTGTTTAAAGAAGGGTAGTCTAAAGTCATAATTCTTTGCTCCATTTTGTACTAGTGTCTCGGGAGTTTATTTATGGACATTGCGGTCCCAGTATATGTAATGCGGCGTATTCCCACGTTACGAGGTTGGAAACTGCCCGCCAAGCTTGGAATCCTGGTTAGGGGGTGTGCACACTAATAGTTCGATACCTGATTCCACAGAGTTTGAACCACGAGATTGGTTCCGTAGACGGTAGGAGATATTGGGTCGAAATTATGCCGTTCCCGATGGGGTAAGTCACACTTCTGTGAAACCCTAAGCCGTCTACGAGTATAAGAGAAAGAAAGAGAATCAACAGAGACTCAAGAAAGAGAGTCAACAGAGACTCAAGTATGAGAGTCAAAATAGACTCGATAGAAAGAAAGAGAGTCAAGAGAGAATCGAGAAAGTAACAAAGAAACCTCCACAGAAAGTACTCTAATTTATAAATGAGCATACGAGTATGAGTATATTATTGCATCAGATTGCATATGAGCATGGGTATATTGTTGCACTAGATTGCATAAGAGTATGATTATATTGTTGCACTAGATTGCATAAATGCATGATTATATTATTGCACTAGATTGCATATGAGCATGAGTATATTTTTGCAGTAGATTGCATATGAGCGGGAGTATATTGTTGCACTAGATTGCATAAGAGTATGATTATATAGTTGCACGAGATTCCATACGAGTATGAGTATATTGTTGCACGAGGTTGCATAAGAGTTTGATTATATAATTGCATGAGATTGCATATGAGTATGAATATGTTGATGCACTAGATTGCATGAGAAGTATGATCATAATGTTATACATGATTGTATGCGAATGGAGCATCGTAAGAGAATTTTTTAATGAGAAGCTTAACTTAAGGTATTCCTTTGAACATGATTATTGTGATGTAGTAGAAGTTCTACGTAATAAGTTATGTGATAAGAGTGTGGAAGCATGTGAACACCTGTTATATGATCTTTTAGCATGATCCTATCTGTAAGCATGAATTGCTTGATAAGCTATTTGAGAAGTCTATATGTTGATGAATCTACGTAATCAGTCTTATACATATATAAGCATGCCAACTGATATTATAGGGTGCAAGCATCTAGAATGAATTTGATAAATCTAAAGATGATTTGAGTTTAGCTTATTTCTATAAAGATATCAAATGTTTTCAAAGTGTATGCTAGAATGCTTTACAGGGTTGAGTGTGGTTATACTTAGCATCGTGCTAACGGGTGTTTTTCCTTTTTGTCTATGTGTTGCTTGAAAAACACCACACGCAACCCTGTAAAACATTCCATCATATACTTTGAAAACATTTTATATCTTTATAGCAATAAGCTATTCTCAAATACTCTTAAGATGTATCACATTCTTTCTAGATGCTTGCACCCAATAATATCAGCTGGCATGCTTATGTAAGTACAAGACTGTTCGCATAGATTCAACAGCTTATAAACTTCTCAGATAACTTAACAAGAAAACTCATGCTTACGGATTGGATCATATTAAAAGACCATATAACAGGTGTTTACATGCTTTCACATTCTTATCACATAACTGGATAAGTAGAGCTTCTAGTACCACAACATAAACATGCTCAAAGGAATATCTTAAGTCAAACTTATTGTTATACAATCCCTTACGATGCTCTATTCACATGCAATCACGTATAACATTATGATCATACTTCTTATGCAATCTAATGCAATAATATATTCATACTCATATGCAATCTAGTGCAATAATATACTCATACTCATATGCAATCTAGTGCAATTATATACTCATACTCATACGCAATCTCGTGCAATAATATACTCATACTCATATGCAATCTAGTGCAATAATATACTCATACGTTCTTTTATAAATTAGAGTACTTTCTGTGGAGGTCTCTTTGTTACTTTCTCGAGTCTCTCTTGACTCTCTTCCTTTCTCTCGAGTCTTTATTGGCTCTCTTTCTTGAGTCTCTGTAGACACTCTTTCTTGAGTCTCTGTTGACTCTCTTTCTTTCTCTTATACTCGTAGACGGCTTAGGGTTTCGAAGAAGTGTGAATTACCCCATCGGGAACGGCATAATTCCGACCCAATATCTCCTACCGTCTACGGAACCAATCTCGTGGTTCAAACTCTGTGGAATCAGGTATCGAACTATTAGTGTGCACACCCCCTAACCAGGATTCCAAGCCTGGCGGGCAGTTTCCAACCTCGTAACGTGGTAATACGCCGCGTTACATATACTGGGACCGCAATGTCCATAAATAAACTCCCGAGAGGAACAAAGTCCAAACGGTATCCTCCAAAACCTCACCGATATAAATAATACATAAATATATCTCTCATGCATGCAACAATTCTATTACTTCTCAATGCATCAAAGAATGATATACCACATGCTTATGGTTTTTGAAAGTATTTTTGGGCTCACGTTGGCCCCTTATGCATTTTTGAAATATGACTCATGTGAAATGTCAAAATGCTCTGTGACCTGCTTCTAAATCATGTATAAACTAACATGAAGTATTCAAGAATATATCATCATGCTCGGTTTGCAACATACCAATTCCTATATAATTCACTCAACAAAATACGCTATGTTTCTCATTGATCAAATATCACAATTTAGTCATGCTTTCATAATAAATCATATTCTCAAATGATCAATGCTTCCTTACTCAATGAAATATCATCAGATCACAATAATAAAATAATTCTTCATACACAGTAAACTAGCAAATATGCCCTGTGTAGCAATTCTTCACAATTTCCTTCATAACATACTAATTTTTAATCCAAATTCAACGAAATCAAACCCAAAACGTGCGTCAACACGATCCCGAAGAGCCGAGCCATAAGGGCCCATAACACTCGGTCTGAAATGACACGTAGCTGAGCCACACGGGCCCGGCCTCTGCACAAAAATCCTTCACAGACTAAACTCAGGGACCTAGGGCGGGACTCCTCATGGTCCACCCCTGGAGCCCCGTTAAAGCACCGGGACTAGGCAACGACCCTCCTATAGGGCCGTGCCCTAGTCCCGTGCCACCACGGCTCCAGCCGGCGGCCCTTCTGATGGGCCGCGGCTAGAGCCGCCCCTCTGATCTGGTGCACACTGTGTTGTGCACCAGATGATGTTTCTCCTGCAAAATCTCATCCAAACAAGTCCAAAACAATCTCAACAACTCACAAACGCATACTAAATCACTTCTAAGCATGAACACATCAAAAACTCATAGTTTCTACTCATTTATACTCAAAACTAAAGCTTCACAGAGCAAAATTTAAAGAGGAATCCATGGGGTTATTCCTCTTGTAGTCTATTCTTCTTGCTTGGATCTCTTCTTCCTCTCTACCTAGCTTGAGCCTCCTTCGCCACCTATACTTCCCAAACACACCATATAACCTTAGCCTAGAATCTCAAAGACTAAAGGAAACTAGAAGAGAAAATAGGCTTAGAAATGAAGGATGAATAAGCTTATTATGGTGTTGTTTCTCTTCTTGTTCTTGGCAGAGAAAATGGTGAGGAAGAGGCAAAGAATGAGATCAGGGAATTAAGATGGAATAAGGTGGTTTATATAGGGTTCAAAACCCTAGGATGATTCACAATGATTGGTTGAGGGCAAAGGGGTAATTCCACAAGTTAAAAGATGATTCCAGAAGGGATTTTGGACAGGGTTGTAAAAATCGGTCTAGGCGCCTCTAGACCGTGGCGATTTCCCCCCTAGGCGCCCGCCTAGGTTACCGGCCGCCTAGGCGTCCGCCTAGCGCCTAACTCGGCCGATTTGGCCGCCTAGTGTCTAAGTTAGTCGAGTTAACTCGTCCATTTCGGTCGAGTTAACTCGATCGGCTTGGCCTATTTTTTTTTATTATATATATGTGTGTCTGTGTGCGCGCGCGTGCGCATACATATATATAATATGACATATAAACACTCGTAGACTAGTTTGATACTTTGAATCTTTGGATGATTGAAGTATTTGAGTATTTCATATTTGAGTATTTTTAATATTGTTTTAAAGTTTTTTATTTTTGTTTTTTGAAAACCATTGTTTTGATGTTATGACTTATGAATTATCATTAATTCATTTATTTGGATGTGTTATTTAATTAAATGTTGAAAACAACCTCATTAAAATTGTCAAACTGCAAGTCTACCACTGTTTTTTTTTTTTGCGCCCGCCTAGCGCCGCCTAGACCGCCTAGGCGCTAGGCGCTATCCGAACGCCCGACTAGCGCCTAGCGCCTACTGCAACCGTGATTTTGGATGTCTTGTGGTCCACCATGCAACATGAACCATAGGCTAGAAATGTTATCGTTTATTACTTTGGGGGTTGAAAGTGAATTCTCCCAAAAGCTATTTGGATGAATGTTCAAAAATCCTTTTTGAATCCTCCCGGTCTCACTCAGATAAAATTCTCGATTTAAATCTTGGTACGCGAAGTACCCAAAAACTTAGGGATTTTCGAATAGAATTTATTTCTTCGATGTCAAATTAATTTTAAAATGCTACGAAATTATTTTATTCAAACACCGATTGATCGTAAAAAAAAAATAAAATTAGTGGAGTGAAAAAACTACTTTGGAAATTTCTTAATACTGGATTTATAAAATGAAATTTTGGGTTGTTACGCCACCTTCTCTAGAGGTGTGTAGCGAGTTTCGGTGGCCTTTAGGGATCGGCTCACGTATTAAACCGGATGTTGGACCCGTTCTTCTTCTCGGACGAGCACTGAACTGACTGCCTTGGGTGATGCTGCCAGGTACAGGTACAAAGGTTCGCCGACCTGAGGAGTGGATAACACAGGAGGTGTATAAAGATACCTTTTCAACTCCTCAAAGGATTCTTGGCACCCGGCAGTCCACGCGAAGCCTTCTTTCTTCTTCATGGCCTCGAAAAAAGACACAGTCTTGTCCGTCGCTTTGCTAAGGAATCGGCTCAGGGCGGCCAGCCGTCCGGTCAACCTTTGTAGGTCCTTGATGGTGCTGGGAGGGGTTGCATGTCCAAGATAGCTTGGACTTTCTCGGGATTCGGCGGCCAGCTGTCTGGTCAACCTTTGTAGGTCCTTGATGGTGCTGGGGGGTGCATGTCCATGATAGCTTGGACTTTCTCGCGATTCGGCTCAATACCCCTCTTTGTCACCATGTATCCCAAAAATTTTCCTCCTTGCACGGCAAAGGCGCACTTTTTGGGATTAAGCCGCAGGTTGTACTTAAGCATCACTTGAAAGCACTCGGCCATGTCTTAGGTATGACCTGACTCTTCCGGACTTTTGACCAACATGTCATTAATGTACGCCGCCAAAGACTTCCCCAACAAACCCTGGAACAGCCGAGAGACCATTCGGTTGTAGGTAGCCCCGGCGTTCTTGAGCCCGAAGGGCATCACCTGGTAGCAGTATACACCGTCGGGGGTGATGAAGGCTGTCTTCTCCTCGTAGGCTTTGTGCATGTATATCTGATGATAGCCTCGGAAGGCATCCATAAAACTCAACAGGAGCGACCCTGCAGTCTCGTCGACCAACTGGTCGATCCTTGTTAAAGGAAAGGGATCCTTCGGGCAGGTCTTGTTGAGGTAGGTATAATCCACGCACATCCTCCAGGCCGGTGGCTTTGGCACTAGCACCACGTTGGCCAACCAATCTTAATATTTTACCTCTCGGACGTGACCGGCAGCCAAGAGCGTGCTGACTTCCCTTTTCACGAATTCTCTTCATTCATTAGCTAGGTATCGCTTTTTCTAGATCACGAGCCGATGGTGTGCAAAGGCGGTTTTTATACCTTGGACCTTGGTCAACACAGTTTAGTGGACCATGTCCCGAAAATGGCATCGTGTCTTTATTTAAAGAAACGACCGCCGCTAAATTTTAACAAATCTCATATTTTTTGTGTGTTTATAATAAGATGAAATTACAGTGCATTTCAAATTAAACTGAATAATTTGTCTCGCATATATTGTAAATGAAACTGTAATTGAATTGAAATGATAATTTTGTTGTGTTGAAACGAAACTGCAGTATGTCTAAAATGAAACTGAATAGCATGTCTCACATATTGAGTGTATATTGTCAAATAGAATTGTAGTTGAATTGAAAGGTTACTTTAGCTTTGCTGAAATGAAACTACAGTCTGTATAAAAAGAAACTGAATAACATGTCCCACATATTGAGTGTTATATTTTCAAATGAAACTGTAGTTATATCAAAATGATACTTTACTTGTTTTTTAATGAAACTATATTGTATATAAAATGAAACAGAATAACAATTTCACATATTTGAGTGTATATTGTAAAATAAAATCGTAGTTGAATTAGAACTATAATTTAGTGGTGTTGTAATAAGACTACAGTGAGTATAATATGATATTCAATAACAAGTCACATTGTAATAAGACTATTGTACATATAATGTCGAATGAAACTGTAGTTGAAACAAAATGAAACTTTAGTTGTGATGAAATGAAACTACAATATAAATAAAATGAAACTGAATATGTCATACAAACCGAAGTAATTACACAGAAATGGTGCCGGTTGCTTTTCATTAAAAGAAATGACACTGTTTTGGAAAATGGTCCACACAGATGTGTGGATCATGGTCCACTGTAAAATTTTGTCGATATTCAAAAGATGACACGGTGGAAAAATGAATCTGTTGTAGTCTAATTGGTTAGGATACTCGACTCTCACTCGAGAAACCCGGGTTCAATTCCTGGCAACTAGAACACTATTTTTTGTCTTTTATTTTGCACTACTAGTTCACGGCGTAGAGGAAAACCACTTGAGGAATATGGGGTGTGAGAAGCACAAACTCTCGACCTCAAGATCATTTAGAAGCTATGAGACCTACGCGCTAGCCAACTACACCACCACCCCATATTGATACTTAATAATGACCATTATGTCCCCGTACGTTCCATTTTTTAATTACCAATGCATTTATGTTAGGGAATTAAGGGCCACCAGATAATGCAAGATCAATGGTGTGCACAGACGATTGTTATACAGTGAAACTTGGTCCACACAGTTGAGTGGACCGTGTTCCGAAAAGGGCGTCGTGTCTTTAAGTAAAGAAATGACCGCCATTAAATTTTAACAAATCTCATATTTATTGTGTGTTTATAATAAAATGTAACTACAGTGTATTTCAAATCAAACTGAATAATTTGTCTTGCATATATTGTAAATGAAACTGTAATTGAATTGAAATGATACTTTCGTTGTGTTGAAATGAAACTGCAGTATGTCTAAAATGAAAATGAATAGCATGTCTCACATATTGAGTGTATATTGTCAAATAGAATTGTATTTGAATTGAAATGTTACTTTAGTTTTGCTAAAATGAAACTACAGTATGTATAAAAAGAAACTGAATAACATGTCTCACCTATTGAGTGTTATATTGTCAAATAAAACTGTACTTATATCAAAATGATACTTTAGTTGTATTTTAATGAAACAAAAGTGTATATAAAATGAAACAGAATAACAATTTCACATATTTGAGTGTATATTGTAAACTAAAATCGTAGTTGAATTAGAATTATAATTTAGTTGTTTTGTAATAAAACTACAATGTCTCGAGGCTCGAACTCACAATCTTCCAAATGTAAGCCCAACCCAAGTACCATTAAACCACACAATCTTGGTAAATAAAACTACAATATAAATAAAATGAAACGGAATATGTTATACAAACCAAACAAATAAAACAGAACGGGTGCCATTTCTTTTCATTAAAAGAAATGACACTGTTTTGGAAAATGGTCCACACAGCTGTGTGGATCACAGTCCACTATAAAATTTTGTTGATATTCAAAAGATGACATAGTGGAAAAATGAATCTTACTCGGCTCTCACCCTAAAGACCCGGGTTCAATTCCCGACAACGGAAACACTATTTTTTCTTCTTTTATTTTTCACTACTAGTTCACTGTATGGGGGAAAACCACTTGTTGAATATGGGGTGTGAGAGGCACGACCTCTCGACCTCAAGATCACTTAGAAGCTATGAGACTTACGCGCTAGCCAACTACACCACCACCCCATATTGATACTTAATAATGACCATTACGTCCCTGTACGTTCCATTTTTTAATTACCCATGCATTTATGTTAGGGAATTAAGGGCCACCAGATAGCCAACTACACCACCACCCCATATTGATACTTAATAAAGACGATTATTATATAGTGGAACTTGGTCCACACAGTTGAGTGGACCATGTTCCGAAAATGGTGTCGTGTCTTTAAGTAAATAAATGACCGCCGTTAAATTTTAACAAATCTCATATTTTTTGTGTGTTTATAATAAAATGAAACTTTAATATTATTGGCTCTATTATAATGCAGTATCTGTTCATATACTTTCTCAACCTACTGAAACACAAAGAACTAGTAACGCCTCCACTGAGGCTTGAACTCACAACCTTCCAATGGAAGTCCAACCCGGGTACCATTAAACAACATAGTCTTGGTATGAAACTACAGTGTATTTCAAATCAAACTGAATAATTTTGTCTCGCATATATTGTAAATGAAACTGTAATTGAATTGAAATTATACTTTTGTTGTGTTGAAATGAAACTGCAGTATGTCTAAAATGAAACTGAATAGCATGTCTCACATATTGAGTGTTATATTGTCAAATAAAACTGCACTTATATAAAAATGATACTTTAGTTGTTTTTTAATGAAACTAAAGTGTATATAAAATGAAACAGAATAACAATTTCACATATTTGAGTGTATATTGTAAAATAAAATCGTAGTTTAATTAGAATTATAATTTAGTTGTTTTGTAATAACACTACAGGGAGTATAATATGATATTCAATAACAAGTAACATTGTAATAAGACTATTGTATATATAATGTCGAATGAAACTGTAGTTGAAACAAAATGAAACTTTAGTTGTGCTGAAATGAACCTACAATATAAATAATATGAAACTGAATATGTTATACAAACCGAACTAATTACACAGAACGGGTGCCGTTTCTTTTCATCAAAAGAAACGACATTGTTTTGGAAAATAGTCCACACAACTGTGTGGATCATTGTCCACTGTAAAATTTTGCCGATATTCAAAAGATGACATTGTGGAAAAATGAATTATTTATAGTCTAGTTGGTTAGGATACTTGACTTTCACTCGAGAGACCTGGGGTTCAATTCCTAGCAACAAAAATGCTATTTTTTGTTATTTTATTTTGCACTACTAGTTAACGGCGAGGGGAAAAAACCACTTGTGGAATATGGGGTGTGAGAGGCTCAAACTCTCAACCTCAAAGCAATGGAACCTATGCGCTAGCCAACTACACCACCACCCCATATTGGTCCTTAATAATGACCATTACGTCCCCGTACGTTCCTTTTTTAAATTACCAATGCATTTATGTTAGGGAATTATAGGCCACTAGATAATGCAAGATCGATGGTGTGCAAAGGCGGTTGTAATACCGTGGACCTCGGTCCACACAGTTTAGTGGAGCATGTTCCGAAAATGGCGTCGTGCCTTTAAGTAAAGAAACGACCGCCGTAAAATTTTAACAAATCTCATATTTTTTGGGTGTTTATAATAAAATGAAACTACAGTGTATTTCAAATTAAACTGAATAATTTGTCTCACATATATTGAAAATGAAACTGTAATTGAATTGAAATGATACTTTTGTTGTGTTGAAACGAAACTGCATGTCTCACATATTGAGTGTATATTGTCAAATAGAATTATAGTTGAATTGAAATGTTACTTTAGTTTTGCTAAATGAAACTACAGTATGTATAAAAAGAAACTGAATAACATGTCTCACATATTAAGTGTTATGTTGTCAAATGAAACTGTAATTACATCAAAATGATACTTTAGTTGTGTTTTAATGAAAGTATAATGTATATAAAATGAAACAGAATAACAATTTCACATATTTGAGTGTATATTATAAAATAAAATCGTAGTTGAATTAGAATTATAATTTAGTGGTGTTGTAATAACACTACAGTGAGTATAATATGATATTCAATAACAAGTCACATTGTAATAAGACTATTGTACATATAATGTCGAATGAAACTGTAGTTGAAACAAAATAAAACTTTAGTTGTGCTTTAATGAAACTAAAATATAAATAAAATGAAATTGAATATGTTATACAAACCGAACTAATTACACAGAACGGGTGCCATTTCTTTTCATTAAAAGAAACGACACCGTTTTGGAAAATGGAAATAGTCTAGTTGGTTAGGATACTCGGCTCTCACCCGAGAATCTTGGGGTTTAATTCCCGGCAACGGAAACACTGTTTTTTGTGTTTTTTTTCGCACTACTAGTTCACGGTGAAGGGAAAAACCACTTGTTGAATATGTGTTGAGAAAGGCTCGAACTCACAACCTCAGGATCACTCAGAAGCTATGAGACCTACGCGCTAGCCAACTACACCACCACCTACGTCCCCGTATGTTCCATTTTTTAATTACCAATGCATTTGTGTTAGGGAATTATAGGCCACTAGATAATGTAAGATCGATGGTGTGCAATGGCGATTGTTATATCGTGGACTTTGGTCCACACACTTGAGTTTACCACGTTCCGAAAATGGCGTCGTGTCTTTAAGTAAAGAAACGACCGCCGTTAAATTTAAACAAATCTCATATTTTTTTGTGTGTTTATAATAAAATGAAACTACAGTGTCTTTCAAATTAAATTGAATAATTTGCCTCACATATAATGTAAATGAAACTGCAGTTTGTATAAAATGATACTGAATAGCATGTCTCACATATTGAGTGTTATATTGTCAAATGAAACTGTAGTTATATCAAAATGATACTTTAGTTGTGTTTTAATGAAACTACAGTGTATATAAAATGAAACTGAATAACAATTTCACATATTTGAGTGTATATTGCAAAATGAAATCGTAGTTGAATTAGAATTATAATTTAGGGGTGTTGTAATAAGAGTAAGTGAGTATAAAATGAAATTAAATAACAGTTCTTATTGTAATAAGACTATTGTACATAAAACGTCGAAAGAAACTGTAGTTGAAACAAAATGAAACTTTAGTTGTGCTGAAATGAAACTACAATATAAATAAAATGAAAACTAATATGTTATACAAACAGAACTAATTACACAGAACGGGTGGCGTTTCCTTTCATTAAAAAAATAAATAAATAAATAAAAAAGGACACCGTTTTGGACATTGGTTCGCATAGCTGTGTGGACCATGATCCACTATAAAATTTTGTCGATATTCAAAAGATGACATAGTGGAACAATGAATTAGTTGTAGTCTAGTTGGTTAGGATATTTGGCTCTCATCGCAAAGATTTGGGTTCAATTCCCGGAGGCTTGAACTCTCAACTTCAGGATCACTCAGAAGCTATGAGACCTACGTGCTAGCCAACTATGCCACCACCCTATGTTAATACTTATTAATGACCATTATATCCCCGTACAATCCTTTTTCAAATTACCTGTGCATTTAAGTTAGGGAATTATAGGCCACTTGATAATGCAAGATCGATGGTGTGCAAAGGCAATTGTTATACCGTGGACCTTGGTCCACACAGTTGAGTAAACCTTGTTCCGAAAGTGGCGTCGTGTCTTTAAGTAAAGAAACGACCGCCGTTAAATTTTAACAAATCTCATATATTTTGTGTGATTATAATAAAATGAAACTACAGTGTATTTCAAATTAAATTGAATAATTTGTCTCGC